GACCACATTGGTGTTTTCCTGGGGGTAGGAAAATATGTATATATAATTAAGCCTACACACAAAAGTATTTTTTTTCACTATATTAAAAAGAATATAATATATTTATGTGTGTATAGGATATATATATAAAACCACAGGTGATTTGTGGTAAAAGAAAATAAAGGGCACTATTTGACCCTAAAAAGAAGAAAGAAACTAAAGCAGGGCTCTTTTTGTGGCTCAGTGGTAGTCTCCCTACTCCTGGACTGAGAGGTTTGGATTCAAATCCCACCTGCTCCTAAAAAAAAAGAAATGGTTTAGGAGGGTCACTGGACTTGAAATGTTAACTCTGATTTCTCTTCACAGATGCTGCTGAGCATTTCCAGCAACTTCTGTTTTTGTTAGTGGCTCAGGAAGATCTTGTGGTGCACTGGTAGTATCACTACCCTTGGACCAGTAAACTGGGATTTGAACCTCACCTGCTCTGAGGTGTGTAATAACATCACCGAACAGGTTGATCAGAAAAGCAATTTAAGTTAAAAAAAGAGTTTAAGGAGCAAAACAAAAATCTGTTCTGGCTGAATAAGCCCACACTGTTGATTTTATCCCAGGTTATCATTTCTAAAAACTTTTGCACCATCGAGGTTCAAATGAGTAGCCTGTAGCAGGGGGAGGGACAGAAATCACAGAGCCCAGTCCTGCTCCCAGCCTGGACTTCCAGCCCTGGATGCTGGTCTTCAGACTCTGGAGGTATCCTAACATCTTTTTTATAACAAGAATGCAATGTTTGCTGTTCTCCAGTCCTCTGACACCACCTACTGTATCTAAAGAGAAATGGAACATTATGGCCCGTATGCCCACAATTGCTACCTTAGTTTCCTCATTCCATCTGTGAACTTATAGATATTTTAAATTCATCTCTTCAAGGGATCTTATGACACACTCCTGGAGCAGGTAGAACTTGAACCTAGACCTTCTGGTTCAGAGGTGAGGACACTACCAGTGTGCCACAAACTGCCACCACCATCCTCCACCCCTGCTTTCTGACCTGAAGGCTGTAACTACAACCCAGCCTTCAAATACCTCATTTTTATCAATATCTAGCTCCTCTGGCTTTCTACTCACCTTGATTCTGCAGTGGCTGGTCAACAAAATATTCTGCAGCCTCCTCAAAAAGCAGTAGTGGCTATTTTAATTGTCAATCAGCCACTTGCTGACACTCTAGGCACCCTTAGCAATGTTTTAACTCCTTTACTAACATACAGACTTACATCACGTCAGTGCTTCTGCTCACTCGTCTTTGAAGGATCTTTAATGTGACTGAAAAATCACCAAACTTGTACCTTACATCTGAGGCACATCACCAAGAACCTTGTGTTTGATGATTGTTTTGTAGTGTAGTTATTTACGTGAGTCAATTTCAGTGGCTTTAAACCTAGCTAACAGGTGACCAGAGCAGCTATGAGAGGAATGAGCAGTTAACCTGGTGGTTTTGTGATGTTGGTTGAGGAGAAATATTGACCAGGACACTGGGAGAACTCTCTGCTTTTCCCATAGTGGTATGAAATGTTTGGACATCAACTTCTGACCAAATGAATGCCAGGCAATCCTGGAGCACGCTTGCCGCAATTCAGCATTCTGTTTCCATACTGCACTGGTTTTCTGGGTTAGGCAATATCTCATTCCAAATTATGCAAGTTTTTAATTTTATAAGTCTACACTCATAAGTCTACCATGGGCCTATGGAGCCAACTTGCTGCTGAATAAGCTCTACAATAAGCTAGTGATCACAGAATTGTTAAAGTGCAGAAGGAGGCCATTTGTCCCATCTGCCTGCACCAGCTCTTCAAGTGAGCTTTATTATCTATTACTAGTCTCCTACTTTCTCCCTATACCCCTGCACACCAAATCTATCCAAATAATCATTCAATGTTGTCTTGACTGCCTCATCTGAACCTGCCCTCACCACATTTCCAAGCAATGCATTCCATATCCTAACTACTCACTGTGTGAAAAAGTCAGTTCTCACATCATCCTTGCTTCTTTTGTACGTCTCTGAAAAGCTATGCCCTCTTGTTCTTGTTTCTTTAATGAGCAGGAACAACTTCTGCCTATCTATTCTATTCAGCTCACTTATGATTTTGAAAATGTCTATCAAATCTCCTCTCAGCCTTCTTCTCTCCAAGGAGAACAGTTTCAACTTCTTCAATTTATCCTCATCTGTTCTGGCTGAATAAACCCACACTGTTGATTTTATTCCAGGTTATCATTTCTAAAAGCTTTTGCACCATTCCAGGAACCATTCTTATAAATTGCTCCCGCACTCTCTCTAATGTATTCACATCATTTCTATAATATGGAACCCTCAACTGTATGCAGTACTCCAGCTGAGATCTAACAAGTGTGTTACGGTCACTGACCACTGAACATATTGGCTATAAAGACTGAGTATATTACTGATTCTAGCCTTATTCCCAGACTTCAAAAGTTTAAATGCTATTGTTTTCCATTGCAGATCAGCTATGGTGCCTCAAGTGATGAGCTGAGTGACAAAATGCACTATCCAACATTTTTCTGGACTATTCCAAGTGATATGAAACAAGCGGAGGCAATGGTTTTATTGATCCAAAAGTTTGGCTGGAACTGGATCGCAGTAATCGCAAGCGATAATCAGTATGGAAAAAATGGAAAGCCAAGGGTGGTAGAGTTAGCTTCTGAGAGACAGATCTGTGTAGCTTTCCAGGGCTTAATCCATGCTCCAAGATTAAATCAAGCAATCATCAACATGGTCAACCACATGAGCCTCAGTAAAGCCAATGTGATCATCTTGTTTGCAGGTCAATTTTATGCTAGAGCATTCTTTCAAGCAGCAGTTGAGGTAAATGTCACAGGGAAAGTCTGGATTTTAAGCGAGTCATCTTTTGGAAACATAACTGCATCAGATATACTGAATGCTAAAACAACTGGCACTTTCCTGAGCATTGGGGTCAAGCAGGGACAAATGCCAGGTTTTGGAGAATTTTTAATGCAATCTATGGCTACTCAGAGTCTGGCAGTCGATCAGCATCATTTAATCTCAGTGAAGGAAACAGAAAGCAGTAAAGTGAGCAGAGAAGAGAACTGTGCCCAGGTATGCACTGAGTGTCAATATTTCACTTCTGCCAGTGTTCAGGCTGTGCTGGGATCTTTGGTATGGAGCATCTCCTTTAACATCTATGCTGCCGTGTATGCTGTGGCTCATGCCCTGCATCAGCTCCTGAGCTGCCACTCAGGATCCTGTGACAAGTCCAGGGCATTCTTACAGTCTCAGGTTAGTACTTTATATGTTAGTTTAATGAGATCACAGTTGAAAAAAATCCCAGCTCTTTCTCTCTCTCTGTTTACTCCCAGAAAGCTCACATTCTGGTTAGGATTTTCATTCTGAGGAACGGTCAACCTCTGTAGCTTTTAAAAAAAATGTCATCCTCAGGATCTGGGCATCACTGGCAAGACTGGCATTTTATTGTCCATCTCTGATTGTCCTTGAGAAGTTGATGATGAGCCACCTCTTGAATCATTACAATGCGTATGGTGAAGGTATTCCCATTGTGCTGTTAGGAAGGAAAAGTGTGAATCAAGTGAGAACCTTTGCACACTATTTGAAAGTATGGTTAAGAATCAATCATATGTTTGTGGGACTAGAATCATGTATAAACTCAGATCAGGTAAGAAAGGAAGATTTCCTTCTTAAAAGTAAATTAGTTGACCAGTTTATTTTTTTTTGGTCAGTCTGATAATACCAGGGTCACTTTCACTAATACCAAAGGTTTACTTCCAGATTTTAAAGATGAATTGAAATTCACAAATTGATGGTGGTATTTAAACTATGAAAGAAAAGCAAAATTTTGCAGATGCAGGAAATCTGAAACAAAAATGCTGAAGAAACTCAGCAGGTCTGGCAGTACTTATAGAGAGTGAAAGAGAATTAATACTTTGAGTCCAATAAATACTCTTCTTCAGAGTACCTGGGATGTGGGATCTGAAATTGTGCTCTCTGGGTTATTAGCTCAGGGGGATTGTCACTAGACTCTCACATGCCAGGCTGTGAGTCCAAAAAATGATTGTCAATAGGATGTCTTCTAATGGAGCCCATTACAACATTCGTACTCACTCCAACTAGAATCACTAATCATTAATCGCTTACTGAGCCCAGTTTGGATTAGTGAACACACACTAGGTACTAACACCGTGATTTTGTCAGGAAAGTTACTATTTTCTAACTTAAATCACCAATTGTGTTAGGGATTTGGGCTCTAGACACACTAATGTGAATGGCTGGAGTCACAGAGATACATCAGCACATTTGAGTCTAGACATGACACACGGAGACACATACATGTGTGTCTTTGAGTGCACTCTGAGATATATGGATATTCACATATGGACATAAAGACATTTTCAAATATGTAGACAGATACTTGTGCACAAACATGTACAGAGGGCACCTATCATTTATGCCGTGAGTGCATATTTTTTTTTCCTTACAATTGCATTTTTTTTCCTTTTTCTTTGCCTCTTCATAGAGATTAAATGACTGTAGACTAATGGGTGGCAGGGTTGAAAGTGGAATGAACAAGTATATAGCCCTGGTGATATAATGAGTTTGGGGCAGGGGTTGATGGAATAATTGCTTGTTTCCTACCTATTCATTTTAATCTTTTGCATGTAAGTACTCACATTGACACACAACATGTACATAGACACGTTAGCACATGTGTGGATTTACATAAAAAGCCATCCATACATGTAGACACCAACACATGGATTCAGCAGAGTCCTGGAGATAACCCTCTATTCATTGATTGGTGCCTGGCTAGTGGAAAGGATGAATTCTCTGTCACTCTAGTCAGGTTTGTCTCACTAACAATTCCTCTTTTCTTTCAGTTGCTGGAGGGTTTGAAAAGAGTAAATTTCACTCTTCACAATAACCTGATATATTTTGATGAAAATGGAAACCCTCCAATGGGCTATGAAATCATCTTGTGGGATACGCAAAATGAAAGCAGCCCCATGAAAGTGATTGGATCTTATAAACCAAACCCAGGTCAACTGATCATCAATGAGTCTCTAATCAAATGGAATTCTCCAACAGATTCGGTAAAGTATTCCTTTAATCTTGGAGTTCTTAAACTACAGTGAGCATAGTCTTTCATCTCCAACCCCAAACTTCAAGCATGGATTCTGCAGTTCACAATAATTAGTTTCAGTTTACATAGAGTCATACAGCACATAAACAGACCCTTCAGACTAACCCGTTCATGCCAAACATAATCCCAAACTAAACTAGCCCCACCTGCCTGCGCTTGGCCCATATCCCTCCAAAACTTTCCTATTCATGTACTTATCCAAATGACTTCTACATGTTGTAATTGTACCTGCGTTCACCACTTCCCCTGGAAGTTCATTCCAAGAGCGAACCACCCTCTGTGCAAAAAAATGACCCCATCATATCTTTTTAAAATCTCTCTCCTCTCACCTTAAAAATGAGCCCCCTATTCTTGAAATTCCCCATCCTAGGGAAAAGAAAACAACTTTAACTCGATTTATACCCCTCGTTATTTTATAAACTTCTGTAAGGTCACCTTTCAACCTCCAACGCTCCAGTGACAAAAGTCCTGGTCTATCCAGCCTTTCTTTATAACTCAAATCTTCCATACTCAGCAACATCTTCTGAAACCTCTCCAGCTTAATAATATCCTTCTTCTTCTTTTATTTGCAATGATCAGTTCAGTCTCTATACATGCAGGCATGGGTAGGCGTGAGTCTCAGACTACTCAGCTATCTAACTGTCAACGCTCACTTATGTAACAAAAATTTTCCAGCAACATGCACAGCGAATCATAAACATCAATCAGGAAATGGGAGAGCTGCTCCCCAAGGCCAGATAATGTTAAGCAAATTGTTGTAGCAGGCACCAAGCTATCAACAGTAAATGCAGAAGAGGCTGGAGAGGCCATCATAAACCCAAGTCAGAAGAGGGACTGGGAGTTGCAGGGAAAGAGAGAACTGAAGGAGATAGTTGAGGTGATTAGTGAGTTGCCAGGATTTGAAAGATCAATTTTCCAAGACTTTTCTGCAACCAACTCCTGAAGGAAAATCGTGGTAACAGAAAAAATAATGTGTAATTTGTTTTCATTGTCTTCAAACATTTTTGCTCATTCATTACAGAAGTACTGGGGATGGGTAAAATGACTGACAATTACGAATCTTTCAAATGTGCAATGAAGAGTGATTTTTTTAAACTTTGATCATTGGATGTGGGCACCACTGCTAAGGTCAGCATTTATTGCCCATCTCTAAGTGTCCATGACCCACCTTCTTGAACCACTGTGCTCTTTAAGGTGTAGGATTTTACTTCCCATTGTGAGGATGAATATATGGGATGGCCAATACTGTGAGTCCTGGGCCTGGGCTTTTGACAGCAAGTAGATCATGTGATGAAATCACCAGGAAAATGTCCAGCCAACGTAGGCCGGACACCAAATATGTAGCTGACACAGTGCATAATATGTCCTTCCTCTTCTACTGGCGTTAAAAACAAATTGGCAGTGAATGAAGAGCTAGGTATTGAGCTAATTCCTACCTCTTGTAAGGTGATGCTGAAATAAGACAGATAAACTATATATATATCTCATCTATTGATCTTCACCCAGGTTAGAGAATGACTACATGTTGATTTCTTTTACACAGCTCCCAATGTCAAATTGCTCCAGGGAATGTGATCTAGGCCAATGGAAAAAAAAGGACACCTTTCACAGCTGCTGCTTTGTCTGTGCAGATTGTCCTGCAGGAACCTTTGAAATGAACGATGGTGCGTCCAACTTCACAATTCTACTGAGACCTGAAGGAAGTTTTAGAAAAGGACATTCCTTCATGAATTAACAGTGCAATGGTAAAATGTATTAGAGGTGGAAAGCTAAAAGGAAGAAATTACAGCAGTCACTCATGGTAAATCAGTAACACAGTGGTTCACTAGTTAGCACGGCTGCCTCACAGCGCCAGGGACCCAGGCTTGATACCACTCTCGTGCAACTGTCTGGTGGACTTTGCACGTTCTCCCTGGGTCTGTGCGGGTTTCCTTTGGGTGCTCCAGTTTCCCCCAACAGTCTAAAGATGTGCAGGTTAGGTGGATTGGCCATGCTAAATTGACCTTAGTGACCAGAGATGCGCAGACTGAATAGGGTAGCCATGAGAAATGTAGTGTTACAGGGATGGGGTGGATCAGTGTGGACTTGATGGGCCAAATGGCCTGCTTCCGCACACATTTCCATGGAATTGTGATGATTCTACAAAGTTGGACTGAGTCAGAATGGCTAAACTGACATACTCTTACCCTAGTCAGAAAATTGTCCACAGTAACATAGAAAGGATGAATAGCCATAGCTCAGTAACTGTTCGAGGTACTTCTTTCTAATGAGGTGTTAAACTATGGCTCCATCCACTTAATCCTGTCATTTGGTTGGCTGCTAAAGATTCAAAGGAACTATTTAAAGAAAAACTGAGTGTATTATGGCAACATATCAGGAAAAACCAAGGATTTAATCTCAAACTTTGCTGAGTTGGCTAATTTCAGCTATTTGGCAGCACTATTTCTTGAGTGGTGAGTGTGAGGCTGTTTTGGGAGTATGTGTCCTAACTCCTGATTGCTGCCCACTGCCCCTCAATGGGAATATAACCTTATAGAGGCTGGTAAGGGTTGACTTTCTTTACCCAGTCTCAACATTATGTCCATGTCAAAGAATCACTATCTGAATTTGGTACTGTATACTGTATCCCAACAGCAGTCAGTACTCTAGGGTGCTACCTGAGCTTGACTTTGCTGTAGGGCTGCATTCCAACAGGAGTCAAAATGGTAAGCCTGTACCAAAAAAGAATTAGGGCTACATCCAAAAAGTCCTCATACTTTAGGGCTGCATGCCAACACATGCCCAGGATGGACAATGTGGCCAGGCAGTGGAAAAACGGAAAGATGACAGAAATAATGAAAACACACTGTCAATCAATTCCATACTTGCAGTCTTTTTGAAGAATCATTAGATTTTGGAAAAGTCCCAGAAGATTAAAAACCTGCCAATCTAATACCCTTGCTCAAAAAGTGAGAGAAACACAAACAGGGGCAACTATAGGCTGGTTAGCTTAACATCTGTCATTGAGAAAACATTCAAGTCTATTATATTCTACTGGTGCCCTTTTGTCTATCCTGTTTGTTACCTCCTCAAAGAATTCTAGTAAATTTGTCATGTGTGATTTCCCCTTCATGAAGCCATGTTGATTCTGCTTGATTATATTCTGTATTTTTAAATGCTTTGCTCTTACATCCGTTATAATAGACACTAACATTTTCCCAGTAACAGATGTTAAGCTAACTGGCCTGTTTTTTTGTCCCCTTCCCTTTTTAAATAATTGTGTTAAATTGGCTAAGACAGATTTTTAGTCACTGAAGGAATTGAGGGTATGGAGTAAAGGCAGGAGTGTAGAGTAGAGAATCATAAGATCAGCCATGATTGAATGGTGGAGCGTCTTAATTAACTGAATGGTCTACTTCTGCTCCTATGCCTCCTAGAACGTGCTGTCTTAACCTATGGAATTCTCTACCACTGAAGGCTGTGAAGGCAAAGTCACTGAATATGTTTAAGAAAGAAATGGATAGATTTCCAGAAGCTACACGTGTCAAGGGGTACAGGGAGACAAGGGGTACAGGAAGAATGTGGGAATATGGCGTTGCGATAAAGGGTCAGCTATGTTGTTGTTGAAGGGCAGAGCAGGTTTGATGGGCTGATTTGCCTACTTCTCCTACTTTCTATGCTGCACGCTGCTCATTGTGACATCTTCCTGCTCTGCATAGCTCCCTCTGCTGGTTGATACCTGTGTTTGTGCTATCAATGAAATCCAAGGCTTCCCAGAGTGGGCTTCAGGTCACAATATAACACCTTGGGATTATGAGCTCTTGAATAGCAATTGCCAGAATAAAGCTTCAACAGAACTGTGCCCCTGCTCTAATAGGCCTCCACTTTTATAACTGCCCCCTCACTGACATTGAGGTGTTGCTACAATTTTCAAGCCTTAAAATGGGGTCACCGTAGGAAAAGATTTTGTAAATACAGTGTATGCCATCTGGTACGATTTACCCCAAAGATGTTGGTGTGTATGCTGTGGAAGATTAGAAAGTCTGAGGGCTCTTGTAGCACCCAAAGAAACAGGTTTAACAAATCACAATTTCTCCCATTTGAATGAAGTCAAAGGTGTTTAGGAATTCAGGCATTTGCCCAGACTAATACTCTCAGGTGTAACATAAGGAAGTTAAGACTTGAAAGGGTTAACCAACATGATATTAAGCTCTACCCATGAGCAGATAAAGAACGTTCCTGGCAGGAACTAACCACATTGTTCAGTTGTACAGCTTCAAAAGTAGTAGGGTACGTACAGCTTGGCGTCTCAGAAAGGACTCTCATGTTTTTCAGACATAATGTAATTAGCTATTAAATACAATATAATTAACATATTTTGTTTATCAAGATAAGGCCTGCCTTCTGCTGAAGGTTGTTTTTGCTCATTCTCTCCCACTTGTTAATCAATCGCATGTGAGTGTTGCTGGCTGGAGCAGCATTTATTACCTGGTTCTAGTTGCCCTTGAGAAGGTGGTGGTGAGTTGCCCTCTTATTCTGCTCGGCTTTAGCAATGTAGACAAATATGAAGAAGAAGGATTGGTGGCAGTGAATCTACTCAAAGTATCCCACATGGTTCCAGTGGACATGAGTACAACATATACCATGCTGATAGAGGTGGTATCTGATAACATAGCTTCTAGGGCTGTCAGTGAACAGCTTACAGTTCACAGAATACTCAGGCACGTGATTTCCTGCAAGGAATGTTTAAAATGAAATTATATCATTTGAAATAATAACTGTTATATGAAGAAAGTGAAGAGACAGAACTGGAAGGTAATAGCTGCTGGCACAATGATGGCATTAATTCTTCTTTCGTAAAGCAACCTTTTGATAAATGTGACCCATTTCAGAGAGAGGGGGGCCACTACTGGATGCTCTAACCAGTTGTTGTTGTTGTTTTACAGAATGTGTGAACTGTTCCTTGCAGCAGTGGTCACCACAGAAGAGTTTTACCTGCTACGATCGGGCTGTGATTTACCTGCGGTGGGGCAGCAACATTTCCATCGCGCTGTCAGTGATGGCCAGTGCTGGACTTTTAACAATGGCTGGCATTACTCTGGTCTTTGTTGTTTACCTCAACAGTCCAGTTGTCAAGGCAGCAGGAGGGAGGCAGTGTTTCTTAATGCTGTTCACCTTGGCTTCTGGTTGCTGCAGTGTGTTCCTCTTCATCGGAAAGCCAAATGAGGTGACCTGCAGAGTGAGGTGGCCTCTCTTTACTGTGAGCTTCACAGTCTGTCTGGCATGTATTTTTGTCAGATCCTTTCAAATAGTCTGTATATTTAAAATGGCCACCAAGTTGCCTAAAGCCTGTGATTACTGGGTTAAATATAGCGGACAGTATGTGTTTGTGTTTGCAAGTACATCTATTTCGGCCATTGACTGTTTTGTGTGGATGGTCCAAGCACCGGTAGTGACAGTATCTAATTATAACCTTTCTCAAAAGGAAATATTCCCACTCTGCACTACTGACAACAATATCTCAATTTTCCTGTCAGGCTTTCTGTACAATGGGCTACTTGGTTGTCTCTGCTTTGTCTTTGCTTTCTTGGGAAAAGACTTGCCAAAGAATTACAATGAAGCGAAGTGTATCTCCTTCAGCATGGTACTGTACATTGCCTCCTGGTCTTGCTGCATTCTTGTCATCGTCTCAGGCTTCCAGCAGTATCTCCCCTTGGCCCAGGCTCTGGCTGCTCTGCTCAGCTTGTTTGGAATCCTGGTTGCTTATTTCCTCCCTAAGTGTTACATTATTCTGTTCAAACCTCAGTGCAACACAGCTGTATTCTTCCAAAGTTGTATCCAGGATTACACCAAAAACAGAGAGGTCTAGAGTGATGACGCTGTGGCTTTAAGGGGTGTGTTTTGTTCTGGTTTCTTTTAGAAAGAGATTGGGGGAGAGGTAACGAACAGTCTATGAGAAGGTAAACAACTTGTGAAGCCTTGGGGTTTTCTTAATGTTGGAACAATAGAGGCAGCCTGAATGGGTGTGATCTAACTCTCGCAGATCAAGGATTTTTAGTTAGCTTTCAGCAATTGCTGTTGTGGGCTTGAAGAAGTGGAAGCTATTTTTCTCTCGTTTGATTACAGCCAAAAGCTGGAGGTTCATTTCCTGGGCTGTTGGATTGCATGTGAGACAAAATCTGTTTTCTGAATTTGCCTTTTTGCCACAGGGAATGCTACCATTTTGGGACAGTTAATTACTAATAGTTACTGTATCTATTATTCTGTTAAGTTTTCCAATAGAGTTAAGTCATTCTAAGTTCTTCTTTCTTTTGTTGTATTTTAACTATTGTGTTAGAATAAACTGTGTTTTGCTTGAAGCCGAGTGGTTTGACCAGTCGAATTGCATCTGGAACACAGAACTTTATATTTGCCTTTGAAATAAGAAAATGTTAGGGAGAAGGCTAACTTCTTAAAATACTTTGAGAGATTCTGGTCTGGTCCATAACACCAGCAACCAAATCGTAGCATGGTTATAGTTGCTGAGTGGTGACCTGCTAAAGATTGGTATGTGGGATAGCAACTTATATTTGAATTAATGTTGAGATGATTATTTTAACTTTCCAATATTTTTTCTTCTGCTCCTAAAGATACAATTCCGAGGGCCTTGGCTCTGACTAGGTTCTGTTTTTTTCAGTCTCTCTCTCTCACTTTCTCTTTCTCTCATTCTTCCTTTAAATTATTTCATTCTTTCATTTTCTTGGTCACTCTTTTTCTGGCTAATGTTCCCCTTCTCTATTTCCAGTGAACACAAGGCATGTGAATAATCTCCCTTTTTCGGCACCAGGTACTTTCAGTCATTACTGGGGATGTTACAAAAAGCCATTCCACTGTTTCCTTGGCCCTTCAGTCTCTGTCTACCCCAATTACTTTAATGACCTGAAACTGTCAGTGCCTATTGAATGAGCTATTTGGTAGCAAAACTGATGGCATCATTAGAAAATGATTCAGTAACAGACTGGGTGACTCTGAAATCAGTTTAGCTGAATATATTTATTGACAGATTTAAAAACATCAAGAGGTATCTTTGGGGGCTTTAGTTACACACCAGCTGATCTGTAGAATGTTAAAGCATACTTTGCAGTTCTTTGTCATTTTGTTTCTAAGAAATTGAATAGCAGTTTTGTTTGTTTTGTGTAGTTTGATCATTGGTTATCAGATTGTGTTTCCCATCTCCTTACATTCAAGCTTTGGTTGAATTTTTGTTATTCCACTTTTTGGGTTGTAGATTAATCTGAATGCTTTAGTCTTAAATCAAAGTGTCCCAGTCAGTACTGCCTGAGAAACAGCCCTGCACAAACAGGACAGCTTGCAGCTTTTGGAAAGGTACATGTTGCAGAAAGCCTCAGAGCTGTAATTAAGGCAATCAATTATGGTTCTGGAACCATTCTCTACAAGACTTAATATTAAACCACCGTGAATATCAGAAAGTGACATAGTAATTTTGACCGCATAGTATCAGTGCACAATATGTTTTACTGAACACTGTTTGGACGTGATATACTGTCCTTTCACAAGGTGCTGCTGGACAGCAACAGTTCACTTTCTCTAGATTTATGGAGCTGATCTCGGTTTTCTTTTGACCTGATTCTGCTTTTGGATGGAATGTAATTCTCTGGTATTTGGTGACTCTCCAACACCTCTCCCAACCCAATGGATTACCTTCACCCATCACCCCTAGACACTTGCTACTTGGCTGGAAGCAGCATCATAGCTGAGCGCAGTTTGTATTTTCAATGTACAAAGCTTGTCATTTTAACTCTGTGATTGTGTAAAATGGGTTCTAGTAGTCCATTTCAGACCAATCTCCATTTGTATTTCTACTGATCTCTACTTCATTCATTCTGCAACAGGAATCATGGGCAATGTCTAAAGATTGGGAACAGTGGCTAATTTTCTGCTGCTCCAGTTCAGGCCAAATATTGCCCTTATTTCCAGTTCACATTTAAACCATTATACAAATCCTAAAGACACAGATGTGATAAAAACTTTTAATTTACAAAATTCATTCAATCTTAATAAATACAAAACTAATACAGTTAAAACTTAATTATAAATTAATATGTAAATATACAGAATAGAGATCATAAACCCTCAGCTGATAAGATCCTACTTGCACTGTATCAACTACATATCCACAATTGTGTTAAACATTAGTGTAAATGCACAGTGGATCCTGCCTTGGATTAATTGTTGTCTTCATTTTCTGATTCACTATCACTCTCCTGATAAAACGAGATTGTTGCCTGCACTGGGAAATTCGCCAACAAATGAGCTGCATCTTCATATAAATAATCAAACTGTTTTGATTTTGGCCAGAGAAGTCTATGCAAAAGAAGGAAGAATAGTGTTTCAATGTTCCACACCGTCTGATCTGGCCACATTTTCATTTCTAATGATAGTTGCTGATAAACCAGAGGAGGTTCCTCATTAGTTATCCTGTATTCCATGCCCTCAGATACCTTCAAGTTTAAACGCTCATCCTCATACATACTCTCGTTGCTGCTTCACAGCTGCACTGAAACTCTGTGCTTCTCTGACACTGGTCCCTTGAACATTTCTCCCTCACTTCCCCTTCCCTCCTGCTATCTCCTTCCCTGGCCCTCTCCCTCTCCCACTGCCCCCATGTTCCTCCTCTGAGAAACTCCTCCTCTGTCCTTCCCTCCATCTCTACTTTCCTTTCTCCCTCTCTCCTTTCTTCCCTGTCCCTTCTTCCCTCACCCTTTCTCCCTCTGTTATATTTTTACGCTATTCATAAAGAAATAAGGACAAATTGCTATGAGAATGTACATTGAGGGAGGCACATTCACTGTCGAACTGCAATCATGTGCCGAATAACAATTGATCAGCCTATTAGCTGCTTTGAGAGCTGAAATTCACTTGATGATGCTTTGAAATTTTGAGGCTACAGAATGATTATTCTAAACTTACAGGTGGCAGAACATATAATATTCTCTCGCTGTGCCTCCTGCGTTCCAGAGTCCTTCCCGACCTCCCACCTTCCTTTCTTCGCTCCTTCTCATCTACCCTTCCCTCTTTCTCACTTCCCTCCCCATCTCTCCTCCTTTCCTTCAACCATGTTTAGCGGCTATGATCACATACTCAGGAATTTCTTCCCCAAATCTTTCTGCCTGTTCCTCCTACATCATGATTCCCCTTAAAACCAGCTCCTGGCTCAAATGTTTGATCACCTCTCCAAAGATCTAGTTCACTGTCCATTTTACCCATTGCTCTCATTGAATTTTTTTCATGTTAAAAGTGCTTGAGCAATGCCAGTTACAACTGAAAATGGAAGGGATGGAGATGTAGATGACTGTCACCTTTTAGGCATTCATTTTGTCCTGAAGAAAATGAAATATAATAGTGGCAGAGAAATGTTCATTTTCCACTTCAGGCCCTTATTGTCAAACTTCCCACTTTGAGTACAACAAATTTTTAAAATATTTGCATTTAATTAGCACTTTTCACAACTTTGAAATGTCCCAAAGTGTTTATTTACTTTTTTGGATGTAGCCACTGTTGCTTTGGCAAAAATGTAGCAACCTGTTTGTCCATTGCAACATTCCATGAACAACAATGTAAGTATGAGCATGAAATTCAGAAAAAAAACGCTCCTCTCCCCACACTCTGAAACTTAGAAATTGCCCATTATATACTGACTTGAGGACTGTTGGGATGATATTTACAAAATGTGCTTCTTGATGAAACCTTGACCCTTTGTCACAAGTTTTAATTGACATTGCTAGTCAGTTCATTTGGGATGGGGCAGTTTAAACATGCCCTATCCCTCTCCCACCAAAGCCATAAGACCGGTAGGTTTGCTCCTCACCATTAGTGGAGCCTTGATGTGGTCGATCATGGAGGTCATGGCTGGATCTAACATTGCAATTCTACCAGGATTGGCCACACCAAGTGGATACTCAAAGCTTTGGTATCTTAAGTCAGACAGGAAGGGTGACAGGGGACAGAGGATCAGCATGTGTAGGTCTCGTGTCCCAGTGAGAGTCTTATTCTAGTGAGGAAGGAGACAAAGTAAGGGTTTGGAATAACAAAGTCACTTGGTCACTGATGCCCGTCATGTTTAAATTGGACACCAAATACATGCCCTCGACCGCATCTCTCGTGTTTCCCACACCTCAGCCCTCACACACCCTCCCCACAATAACAACAAAGACAGAATTCTCCTTGTCCTCACGTGTCACCCCATCAACCTTCGGATTCAACGCATCATCCTCTGCCACTTCCGCTACCTGCAATCTGACCCCACTACCAAGGACAACTTTCCCTCCTCACCCTTATCTGCCTTCTGGAGGGATCACTTCTCCATGACTCCCTTGTCCGCTCCACACTCCCCACTAGCCCCACCACCCCTGGCACTTTTCCCTGCAACCGCAGGAAGTGCTACACCTGCCCCTACACCTCCCCCACCGCTCACCCCCATTCCAGGCTCCAAGAAAACCTTCCACATTAAACAGATGTTCACCTGCACATCTGCTAATGTGGTATATTGTATCCACTATTCCCGATGTGGCCTTCTCTACATCGGGGAAACCAAGCGGAGGCTTGGAGACCACTTTGTAGAACGCCTACGCTCAGTTCGTGACAAATGACTACACCTCCCAATCGCGAACCACTTCAACTCCCCCTCCCACGCCTTGGACGACATGTCCATCCTGGGCCTCCTCCAGTGCCACAACAATGCAACCCGAAGGCTGGAGGAACAGCTCCTCATATTTCGCTTGGGAACCCTGCAGCCCAATGGTATCAATGTGGACTTCACAAGCTTCAAAATCTCCTCACCCTCAACCTCATCCCAAGACCAGCCCATCTTGTCCCTGCCTCACTGACCAAGCCCCCACCCCCACTTCCTACCTACTAGCCTCATCCCCACCTCCTTGACCTGTCCGTCTTCCCTCCCACCTACCCGCCCCTCCCTCCTCACTGACCAACCCCCATCCCAATTCCCTACCTACACTCACCTGTACTGGCTTCACCCCTGCCTCCTTGACCTGTCTGTCTTCTCTCCACCTATCTGCTCCTCTATCCACCTGCCATCATCGCCTCTCCCTCTCTCTATTTATTTCAGAGACCCCTTCCCCTCCCCCATTTCTGAAGAAGGGTCCAGACCCGAAATGTCAGCTTTCCTGCTCCTCTGATGCTGCCTGGCCTGCTGTGGTCATCCAGCTCTACACCTTGTTACCCCACATGCTAATCAGATATTTGTTTCTCACAATTCTTTCCTCCTGAAAAATCAGCAGCACAATTAAATTGCTGTGGTGTACTTACTTGACAGGGTGTCGGAATGTCGGGACTTTGTCAGCACTGGGTGTATGCCGAGTTTGCTCGCTCTCTGAGTCAGTCAACTGCAACAGAAAGGTTAGAACTTTGTGGCTGGAATAAATACCACATACTTTATACTAAAAACAAGAAGTGGTGGAAATACTCAGCATCTGTCAGCATAGAAACAGTGACTGGTTAACCTGAATCCAATTCCTTTTCAGAACCACATTCTTCATCTTTGCCACATAGAACAGAAAACATAGAACATAGCAGCGCAGTACAGGCCCTTCGGCCCTCGATGTTGCGTCGACCTGTGAAACCAATCTGAAGCCCATCTAACCTAAACTATTCCATTATCATCCACATGTTTATCCAATGACCATTTAAATGCCCTTAAAGTTGGCAAGTCTACTACTTTTGCAGGCAGGGCATTCCACACCCTTACTACTCTCTGAGTAAAGAACCTACCTCTGACATCTGTCCTATATCTATCACCCCTCAATTTAAAGCTATGTCCCCTCGTGCTAGCCATGAGGTTCTGACACTGTAGAGATATCCATCTGGGGCAAGACATGGAGTATTGCACACATACAGGGCATCACATACCCATACTGAGCACGACACAGCCGTTCTCCCTGGGTTTATGAGCTGTGCTTTAAGGAGGTGTACACAGCAGAGTTCCTGTGTGAACCCATGTGTTTGGAGTCTGGGATGAGCTAGCAGTGGTATTGAAGGAAGAAAGTGAGAGTACCGTTCTCACAGCCGCTCCCTACTGAGTAACAGCACAGCCAGGTCTCCTGGTTAGTGCTAGTCTCTGAATTACAGTGTGAACTAGATGACAATGTCCGTTCCTTATCACCATCCAGTCAGGCCCATCAGCTGATGATAGATTTTGACTCAGCCATGAGCCTCGTTCTGGTCAAATATCCACCGATGTTCACCATTCACAATGAAGGATTATCACTGGAAGGTGAGGTGTTTGAAAGCGGAAGATGTCGATGAAGAAGAAGCAGAAAAAGAAAGTATTGGAAGAGGCCAGTGTTAAATCCAGAGTTGTGACAGCAATGCACTGGTTAATGGAGAGAGAGAGAGAAAAACATATTGTGGAACCAAACTTACTATTGTCATCTGTCTTTGTTGTTCCCTTGCAATATCTTTGGGCGTGATTAGCCATGGTCTCCAAATACTGACGGCACTGTCAATAGTAACATAGCCAATAGGGTTAAGGAAGCATGGGACAGCAGGTTTGGAGAGTTCAGTACAATCAGAAACTTGTAAAGTCTACTTCAGTATGTGTACAAGAACTGCCAGAATTTGTACTACTTCAGTGTTGTTTTACTTATTCCCTCTTTATTCTTTCATGTGATGTAGGCTTCACTGGCAATACTGGCATGTGTTTCCTGCCTCTGGTTGTTCTTGAACTAAGGGGCTTGTTCAGCCATTTCAAAGGGCAATTAAGAGTCAACCACATTTCTGTGGGTCTGAAGTCATATATAAGGGAAAGGATGGCATCATGCTTGCTCAAATGAACATTAGTGAACTGGGTGTTTTTTTTTTAATCAACAAGCAATTAAAGTTGTCCTCATCACTATCACTGAGACAAGCTTTACAATTGCAGATTTATTAACTCAAACGAAATTCCACCAGCTGCTGTGGTTGCAATTGAAGCCATGTGTTACTAGACTACAGACAAAACCCTATGCCACCATCTTCCCATTCAACCATCTATTTGATAATTTACATGGTTTACATGGCTGGGCTCCTGAATCATCAACATGTTCTGAGTCTGAGCTGCCCCAAACCTTTGTCTGTGGCTCAGTGGTTTGCACTCTGGCCTTTTACTTGAACTCATGGGTTCAAGTCTCATAACTCAGTCTGACTCACCAAGTGGAAGAATTGAGGGAGGGCTGCACAGAAGTACTGTCTTTTGGATGAGATGTTATCACTTTGGAAAGAAAATGGCAGTTTTTACTGGTGTCCTGAATATTAACCAACATCACTGAGGCTGATTATCTGTTCAATCTCACATTCCTGTTTCTGGGGCTTTCTGTGCTCAAATTAATTTCCTACATTACAGAAGTGACTGCATGCCAACATTACTTCTTTGGCTGTAAAGTGCTTTAAGCCACCCTGGGGTTGAGGAAGCATGCATTATTTCCTTCATATTCATAAGGTACACGCATCAAAAGGACTGGTGTTACACTTCCAGGAAACTCTCACTGTAGCACAGACACCAGCTGGAGATTGGCTCCTCATGTAAACAATGGTTTGTTGCTGCTCCCCAATGGGCATAATCCTATCTAGTGGGGCTTTAACATGTCACCAGATTAGCAAATAGCAATTGTCACATGATAAACTATTCTCTACCATATCACCAGAGTCAAGCTGTTTTGTAACTTAAATTTACTGATGGTTCAGTTGTTAAGAACTGAGGTAACCAGAGCAGTTAATAGCAGCTTCATGGCTTTAATCCCTGTCCTGAGTTAGAATGACTTCCCATTCAAGGCATCACTTAGAAGTACTAGCACTGGACTGAGAACTCAAGAGGGGATTCATCCAGCTTTCTTGTTGGTCATTGTTAATGGATTCTTGCTGTACCTTGGGTCATGACAATTACAGAATCAGATAAACATTAGTAGGCCATTTAGCCCATCGAACCTATGCTGCCACTCACATAGTCTGTCACCATTCTGCACCTCAACTCCAATTACCCATTCTTGCTCCAATAGACTCCTTTCCCAACTTTTTGAGAGAGGGGATTCCAGATTTACATCATCCTGTGCACAGACGGCCCTTCTTCAGTGGAATCCTGAGTAACTCAACTCTGGTTTTAAGATTGTTCTGAACTCCAATCGCGGTTCACATTATGTTAAATTCTTCAATCGGTTCACCTCTCAACCGTCTTAAACTAAGAGAAACAAACCAAGGTTAACAAACCTGACCTCTAAATGTAACCCTTGAAAGCCTAGTGTAATTCTGGTGGATTGGGATAATCCCCTTCAACGACAACTATACACTTCCTGAGGTACTAACCCCAAACTGAAGACATGACTCTAAATGTAAAACTGCAGCATCACTTGCCCCTTTTTGTATTTCATCCTCTACAGATAAGGGTCATCCTTTTGCTAGGCTTTTTATTACTTCTTGCGCCTGTACTCGAATTTACAGTGATGTGGAACACCTAACTCTCGCTGCTCCTCTAAAGATCCCAAACTCTAGCTATTAAAGAAAATATCTGATTTGTTGTTGTATCATATTCCCATATATTGAACTCCACCTGCCAATTTTTCTTTACTCTGCTCACTGTGTCTCTCTCTCTCCGGGCGCCTATCAACTTGGCGTCATCAGAAACTTGGACATGAAGCTCTCTGCACCTTCATCTGAGTGAATCACTGATAATTCAGGGGAGGAGCGGGGATCCCTAGTACAGCCCCCTGTGGAGGGGAGCTGTAGCTTTCACATCTTACTGAACAGACTAATACGTAAAATAGAGATATAAATCTCCCTCAGCACTGCTCACAGACACCACCCACAGCTCAGAGAGAAGACAGAGAGGGTATTCGCTTGCAGAAGGGGGGCCCCCTTGGGTAACTTTGTTCAACTCAGCCTCAACTGCAGTCCGGTCGATGCTATCACACACAGACTACAGCAAACCAAACGCTTTCGGGCTTCCCTCTCGGTGGCGCTGGGAGTCCTACCTTGGTCCCCCCGGGTACTGACCACTGGGACAGTGCAGACAGGGACATAGCCGGCTCCGGGCTCCTGACGCTCCATTCCCCTCCATCTGGGATGATACCTCACTGGCTGTGGGGCTGGTATTCCCCAGCGGCGGCTGCTGCTACTTTCCTGGGATCAGATGGGAATCGGATTGAGCCTGTGTTGTTGCTCTGTCCTTTTATCCAGAGCCTACCCCCATCGCAGACTCGCTGTGGAAGCGGATAGGCTGCTGGCTCGGGGTTTTCCCTTGCGATGAATTCAGTGGTTGACCTGCTTGTGTCAACAATGAGGGTAAGGGGGCCAAATGCTGGCCGCTGTGGGCCTCAGCTCCAGGCTTTCGACATCCCCTGCAGAAAGCAGGAGGGAGAGTGTCAGGCAGCAGGGGCGTGGAGGGGGCTGGGGATGGCTCCAGACTGTCACCTCTTGACACACTTTCCCACCCCGTCCATCATTAACAGGCAGCAATGAGAAACTGTCAATCCTCACACCTCACACTGTGCCGGGCTGCTGCCTGCTCCCAGGCTCAGGGAGACTAGGCTGAACACTGAGCAATCTGAGGGTTAGCTCAGATTCCGAGCCCCAAAACACTCCCAAGTTCCCAAAGTCACAAAGATGAAATCTTCAATGGACAGCAGACCATGTGATAGATTGCTGCTTTATTGGGTTAGAGTACATTCCCTGATGAATTTTAACCTGGTGAAGTTTTATTAACACAAGTGTGTTCCCTTCCCCAACCCCAACCACAGACACTTTATTTCTAAAATATACTTTATTCATAAAAATATCTTTACATACACAAACAGTCCCTAAAGCAGTTCTGTTCATTGTAGCATATGAAGAAAACAAACATTGGAGGTTGACTCACCCCCCAAACAAGATACATTTTAATAAAGGTGTCAAGTCCTCTGCCAATAATCCAACTTCCGACCATATCCAACTATCTCCTCCTTTCAGTGGTGCGAACTGTGTCAGGACAAGATTGTTTAACCTTTAACAAAAACAGAAATTGCTGGAAAAGCTCAGCAGGTCTGGCAGCATCTGTGGAGGGAAATCAGAGTTAATGTTTTGGGTGCAGTGACGTTTCCTCAAATTGTTTAACCCTGTCTCCACTCGCTGCCTGAGGTGACTGAAAGCTGCCCAGCATCCCTGTTACCTTGGTCAAAAATCACACAACACCAGGTTATAATCCACCAGGTTTATTTGAAGACACAAGTTTTCAGAGTCTCGCTCCTGACACCTGAAGAAGGGGCGAGGCTCCGAAAGCATGTGTCTTCAGACAAACCTGTTGGACTATAACCTGGTGTTGTGTGATTTTTGACCTTGATCACCTCAGTCCAACACCGGCACCTCCACATCCTATTACCCTGGGCACTGGCCAGTTCTGAAGGAGAATCCTGATCGACGAGTTTTGAATCTTGAACAAAGTTTAAAAAAGATGGCGAATTGTGACAATGGGCGTGAGTTTTCTTTGAAATGTTTTGATTTTTTTTAGGGGCTAGTTCAGCCAATTCTGTCTGGATTGCGCCAATACTCCCCGACAGTGAGCGGAACACCAAGCCCTAAGGACGGGAACAGTGGAAGGGGTGAGGTCCGGTGTTTAGAGTTGTTTTAGGATTTGGAGGTTTCTAATACTGCTGCCGCCGAAGGTGTTACCTCTCTGGGGAAGAAGCGGCCCCAGCTTGATGTGAGTCAACAAGGTGCAGAGCTGGATGAACACAGCAGGCCAAGCACCATCATAGGAGCAGGAAGGCTGAC